AATAGGCATGTGTGACCGGGTATGGCCCCAGGCCCAGACCTTTGACCTTTACCTTTACCTGGACTCTCCTTGAACTCTCTTACTTGATCAAGGAAGTCTCCAGCATTTGCCTGAGGCTATAATCCTATCAACTGACCTTTCATTATCACCAATCTCTCCTTCTGTTACCTTTAACCTAGCCCAGCCTCCATTGTCTATTACCTCCCAGCTACTTCACACCCTTGATCCTATCTAGACCCCATTCTCAACCTGCCAATCACTCCCATCTAGATCCTCCCTAGACCCCTGCTCTGGTCACTCCAGCTTACTGACCACTTCCATCAAGATACCCCTTCTCCCAGACCCCTCCTCCATCACCCCAAACTACTTGGCTAACTCCTAGATCCCTTCCACAATCTTTTTGCATATAATGCCTCCATTAAGAGGCTGAGATTCTTAAAGTCTAGCCAAGGCTCAGATTCTTATACTCTAGCCAATAGCTCAAAAATGTTCAGATTCCTTAAGAGTTTGGCCAGTATGGTGGATCTTTAATAAACCTTGTCTTTGGCTAAAAGAAAGCATGGGTTGAATTCTTTCAGGCAGGACCCGCATGTTGTCATTTTGGGGTCCCAGCACCCCTAAACCACTAAACCCCAAAATATGGAGGATGTATTGAGAAGGGAAGGACTGGACTCAGGGAGACTAGTCAGGAGCCTATTGCAATAGTCCAGGTGAGAGATGATAGGGGGGCTGGACTGTTTAGGTCCTAGACTCAAGGAGGTATGTTTTGGGTACTGCTTGAGCTCGATTTCCATAAACACCTGTGTTTTCCTAGTCACCAGGTGGATTCTTCTCCTATTCTCTTCTAATAACACACACACATACACATACTCACACACTCACATATCTAAAACATTACTTAGGTATACCAAGTAGTACTAATCTTAATCTCTTGCTCAGGATACTTGCCAGGAAATAGGTGAATGGGAGGAGATTGAGGACATATTTGTACTATTTTGTATATATTTACACATTTATATATAGAATTTGCCTTCTGTTTAGTTCTCAAAAGCAGAAATGGAAAATTGGCAAATAAGGTAAAAAAGCAAAGACTTTGATATTCTGACTGCCATTTTCAAGCTATATAACCTTAGGCAAATTGCTTCAACTCTCTGGGCCTTGGTTTCCTCATCTGTCAAATGAGGTGGTAAGACTATATGACTCCCAAGGGGTCTCTTCCAACTCTAAGTCTGAGATCCTATGACCACTGAGGCTCCTTTCAGTTCTGACGTTCTAAGATAATTCTATGAGATCTGGGTCAAGAGTTCTCACCTTAGGACCTCTGGTGCTAACCTGAGCCCTGAAGCCAAACCACACACAGTCTCTGGCTCTGAGCCCTGATTACAGGTTCTGTAAACATTGTATAGAGGGAGCCCTGTAAGACAGGGCTCCCAAGCTGGACATTTGGTGGAGATTCATAGACATGATATTGCCCAAATAAAGAGGACAAATGATTCCCTTTGGCCAAAAAGAGCTCACTGGGAATGATTTCCCTCTCATTCTCCTTCTGAAGGTTAATCAATGTTTTTGATCCGCCCCTGGGACAACTGGCCATCTGGCCAAGGCAGGGAAATATGTTTGGCTAAAGAATATAGATATAACAAGCATGAGAGTTAACATATGGACCCCTCAAACAGTTCCTTGGTGGAACCTGATGATAATAAAAAAACAAGAGAAATGCCTTCAACTCATAAGGTACGTAGAAGGATAGATACATGGATCATAAATCATAGGGTCAGAGATTTTTTTAGCTGGAAGGGATCTTAGATGTGATCAAGTGCACCCCCTCCTTTTGCAGATAAGGAAACTGAGGCACTGATAAGTTAACTGATTTGCCCAAAGTCAAGAATCACATGCACAAGTGGAGGGGACTGCCCACACAAATGAAATCATGGCTCCACCATATTGGGATTCATGATTGGATAGGGCTGCTCTGTTACTGGCCCCTAGGACCTGGAATGAAAAGGTAAAAACAGCTAACATTTAAATAGGCAGCACTTTGAGGTTTGCCAAGTGCTTTATATATGTTATTTCATTCGATTCTCACAAAAATCTTGTAAGGTAGTTGCTATTATTATGCCCATTTTGTTGATGAGGAAACTGAGTCTCAGCTTCAGTTTTAGGCAGCTAGTTAATACCATAGATGGAGCTAAGTCTGGAATCAGGAAGACCTGAGTTCAAATTTGACCTCAGACACTTACTAGCTCCATTACCTTAGGCAAGTCATTTAATCTGTCTGCATCAGTTTTCTCAACTATAAAATAGGGATATTAATAGCACCTACCTCCCAAGGTTGTTGTGAGAATTAGATGAGATATTCATCAAGTGCTCAGCACAGTGCCTGGCACATAGTAGTCTCTTAATAAATATTTATTTCCTTTCCTTTTCTTCTTTCCACAAGTAATTTGCCCAGGGTCCCATAGCCAGTGTATCTTTGTGGTAGAATTTGAACCTGACTCCAAGCCTGGAAGATTATCTATTGTATCATCTTGCCTTTTAGGTAGTAGGTTGGGCTTGTGGGATTTGTATATCCTCTTCTAGGCTGGAGCTGAAGATTGTTACTGTGAGTGACAGTCTGCCCATCCTCCTCCCTAGCTTCAGCCAAGTTTGAGGAATAAACACAGCCTACTGCTTACAAGGAAGCAGTCAGGAAGTTGAATGTGGTGGCTTTTGGAAGGTGCTTGGGGATTCCGGTATGGACAGCAGCTGCAGAGAATAGCTTGGCGCTGAGAAAAGAGCACTGGTGGGGCAGCTAGATGGGGCTGCTGGCAGTGGATAGAGCACTAGCCCTGGAGTCAGAAGGACCTGAATTCAAATCTAGCCTCAGACACTTGATACTTAAATAGCTGTGTGACCCTGGGCAAGTCACTTAACCCCACTGCCTAGCCAAAGAAAAAAAAAATGAGGGAAGAAAAGAGCCCTGGGCTTGGGTTCAGAAGCTATGCAATCAACTCCTGTCCATGTCACTTTAGCATGTGAAGGCATATTAAAAACTCTTTTGTTTCTCTAGAAATGTTAAGAAATAATATTTTTCTTTCCAAAATCCTTGGAAAACATTCTTGGAAAGATTGATGATTGGTTTTAAGGACAAAAAAGCTTCTCTTAGATAAATAAATGCAGTGTGGCATATACCCTTCTACCTTTCCTCTTGTTCCCATCATTGCCTTCCCCAACCCAGAAGAGATGGGGATATTTAACCGTGTAAAGGTGGGCTCTGATTCTCTGTCCCCCATTGGAACTGCCCTCAGGTCTGGTGAGACGAGGGTACTCTTACCATCTTCTGCTCAGTTTAGACTCTCGATATAGATCTTTGGGAGATTCCCCACTCTTTCCTCAAGGGGAGTGGTGCAAGAAGAATGGGACAGTGACTTGGTTACTCAAATGTTCCAAATGTTAACTCAGAACCACACCATTGATTCCTATGTCAGATGTGACTCAAAATGACTAAACAGGAATGAAGACAAATGCAACCAAATGTCTTTGGGGGCATGAGGTACTATACGCATTAGAACGTCTCTCTCTCTCTCTATCTCTCTCTCCGTCTCCCTTTGGATATGATTAATGACAAATAAAGTTATATCTGGCAGACTTGAACCTAAAAACAATGAGTACAATATTAATATTAATATGTTTTTCTTAGTAGCCATATGACTTTGAGTAATTTATTCCTTCTCTGAGCTTCAGTTTTATAGAGACATATGATTATAGATGTTAAGCTGGAAGGGAACTTTGTAGTCCAATCACCACATTTTATACTTGAGGAAACTGAGGTCCAAAGATGTTAACTGGAATTAACTGGAGTCAATCTACACATACTTGCCAAAGGGATTTCCAAAAACACAGGTCTGACTAGATCACCCCCCTCTTCAACAAACTCCACATCACAGAAGTGTCAGAGAAGGGATTTAAAACCCTAGGTTCAAATCCCACAACCAGCGCTAACTACCCATGGGACCGTGGGCAAGTTATCTAACTTCTCGGCCTGAGTTTCCTCATCTATAAAATGAGGGGGTTGAACCAGACGGCCTCCAAGGTCCTTTCAAATTTTACGTCTATGATCCTAAAATGGAGATACTAACACTTGCATCCCCAGCACTTAGCACAATGATTGGCATATAGTAGGCATTTAATGAATACTTGTTGACTTGCACTGCTTACCTCACATAGCTGCTCGGAAAACATTCTGCAAATTGTAAAATTCTGGACAGATGTGGGCTGTGTTACTACTCAGTAAGTTCCCTGAAAGATGTTTGTTAATTCCCCCTGACTGAGACCCGAGGTGAAAGTAATGAGGAAGAACATTTGATCTGTTAGGTTTCGGTAGAACCTGTCTGGCCAATCCTGAGATTATAGATGAGACAGTGAGTTCACATAGTGAGTTAGTCATGAAGAAAGGCAACTGATGATTCCTTTTCTTTCTCCTCTCTCTCTGGAATCTAACCCCTCATATCCACCCCCTCTGCCACCACATATTCAACCCCCATTTCTTTTCATTTAATCTAGTGCTCTCCAAAAAGGGAGCATGGCATGAGACTGAGGGGTATGAGGGTGGGAAGATGGGAAACAGCTCACCCTACCCAAGGTCACCCATTGTGGGGCTCATCTCTGATACAATAACAGCAACCCTTCACCCATTACAGCCCATTGTTACCCAACTCTGCCCCTTCCTGAACTCTGAGACTTCCAGCCCCTCCCTTTTTGCACTGGATGTTAGCCTCTTGGGGCAGTTATAACCAACCAGATAACATTGGAAAATTCCATGCGCCCCCACCCCCGCACATTAAGCCTCTAGCCACCAGATCACTTTGTGTCTGAAAGGCATTAGTTAGAGAGCAGGCTCTGCCACACAGATCTCATTACATTATATTTTCCAAAAAAAAAAACCTTAGCTCTCCTCTGAACTTTGCTATTTCTGTTGAAGGTACCACCAGCCTTCTAATCAACTACATTCATTCCCTTACCTGGAGTCATTCTCGATTCTTCACTCTCATCCTTCATATCCAATCAGTGACAGGTCTAACAAGACTTGATTCTGCCTCTGCTTCTCTTACATTAGTCTTCTTCTCTCAGCCAGTCATCACTCCTAGTCCAGGACCTCATCACTTCTCATTTGGGCCATTCCAATCAGTCTAATTTGTTTCCCTGCCTCAAAGTTCTCCTTGCTCCAGTTCAATCTCCATGTGATGAGTTCAGGGTGCACCCCAAGAATGTTGGAGTGCCATCTGAAATGATGAGGAATAGACAGGTGGGTCCTAGTGTCTGAAGGAATTCACCCGGATAGTCACCAACTTAAAGAAAGGCATTTATTGGGGTAACACGCCCAAGAGGGCCCCCGTTTCCAAGTGGGAGAGACAGAGCATAGGTGGCGGGCCCTGCTCCCCATAGGAGGCAGAACAATTATTGGGGTTAGGTGTCTGGTCTTTATACAGCTGGATGGGATAGGGGAAAGGGGAGGAGGGGCAATCAGGGCTCTGGAATGCCTGGAATATCAGATAGTCTGGAAGTACCTTTGTCACACAGATAAGCAGGTGAACAGGAAAGAGGGATGAGTCCATCCAGAGTCCATCCAGATAAGCAAAGGGAACGGGAAAGGGGAGGGGGGAGAGTTGTTCTGGAATGTCAGGTAAGGGGGTGCTTTGTGAAGCCCCCACAATGGGGGCTTCAATGCATAGTCTTTTTTGATCACTTTTTCTGGCTGGTCACATCCTGCATCTTATCTCATATCTCACATCCTGCAACTTGCTTGCTCCATCTACCACAAGCACTCTATAGACCTTATAACACGTACCTGCCAAAGTGATCTCCTTAAAACACAGGTCTGACCAGGTCGCACCCCTCCTTCAACAAACTCCAGTGGTTCTCAATTATCTCTAAGATCAAAGACAAGATCCTTTTTGTGGGATTTAAAGTCTTTTCCAAAATGCTTTTAACCTACCTCTTCAGCCTTATTGCACAATATTACCCTTCTTGCATTCTATAGGCCAGCCAAACTGGTCTTCCTCATATAAAACTCAAGTCACACAAAAACAGAACTAAAATATTGATAACATCTATTAAACAGAAATGTGGAGGGAGGAGGAAGAGGAATGGATTTATACTTAAAACTTTCTGTTGAGTTTTTCAGATGTAGAAATTAAAGTTATCTATAGTCATATGAAAAAATGCTCTAAATCACTATTGATTAGAGAAATGTAAATCAAAATAACTCTGAGGTACCACATCACACCTATCAGATTGGCTAACATGAAAGAACAGAAAAATGATAAATACTGGAGGTGTGGGAAAATTGGAACACTAATGTATTATTGGTGGAGTAGTGAACTGATCCAACCATTTTGGACAGCAATTTGAAACTATGCCCAAAAGGCTATAAAAATGTGCATAGCCTTTGACCCAGCAATAGCACTTCCAGGGCCATATCCCAAAGAGATCATAAAAATGGGAAAAGGACCCACATGTACAAAAATATTTATAGCAGCTCTTTCTGTGGTGGCAAAGAATTGGAAGTTGAGGGGATGCCCATCAATTGGGGAATGGCTGAACATGTTGTGGTATATGAATGTAATGGAATATTATTGTGCTATAAGAAATGACGAGCAAGCAGACTTCAGAAAAACTTGGAAAGATTTGTATGGACTAATGCTGAGTGAAGTGAGCAGAACCAGGAGAACATTGTACACAGGAACAGCCACATTGTGCGATGACTAACACTGATAGACTTGGCTCTTCACAGCAATGCAAGGATCCAAGACAACTCCAAAAGACTCATGATGGAAAATACTATTCACATCCAGAGAAAGAACTATGGAGTTTGAATGCAGATCGAAGCATACTATTTGCTCTATTTTTTTCTTCTGTTTTGTTTTGTTTCTTCTTTCCTGTGGTTCCTCCTATTGCTTCTAGTTTTTCTTTTCAACATGACTAATGAGAAAATATGTTTAATGGGATTGTATATGTAGAGCCTATATCAGATTGTGCACTGTCTTGGGGAGAGGAGGGAAGGGGAGAAAAATTTAACACTCAAAAGCTTATGGAAGTGGTGTTTGAAAACTAAAAATAAATTAATTAATTTTAAAAAACTTTCTGCTGAGTTGAAGAGAGCTCACTTTTGTTGGTTACTTTCACATTGTGTACAGGGAATACCTACAGACAGAGGGCCATGACTCTTGCTGAAAAGCTGTTTTGGTTCATTGACTGATAGAACCTATCATTTGATTGTTGTATTGGGTATCTTTTGGTAAACAGTAACAAAAACAGAAAAGTTCTTTGTTTCACCAGCTACATCAATCAAATTAACTAAATAATTAATTATTAACAAATTATTATTTACAAGTCTGCTCTGTCTTTCAGGACAAGCATAGGAATTTTTCTAAAATAATAAAACATGAAATCTCATTGCTTTCTAGAGCAGAAAGATTTGATGTACTGTTATTAAATAAAATAATTTTTTTAAAATATTGTTTATTTCATCTTTATTTCCTCTTTTAAAATTCATATTTTTGTGGTTTATCATGTACTCTGTTCATGCAATAGTATATTATATAATTTATTAAATAAACAAATACACCTATACTGGAGGTTTGTTTAGTCATTTCAGTTGTGTCTGACTCTTCATGACCCCATTTGTGGTTTTCTTGGCAAAGGTGCTAGAGTGGTTTGCCATTTGAGGCAAATAGGATTAAACAACTTGCCCAGGGCCATGCAGCTAATAAGTATCTGAGGCCAGATCAAAATTCAGTTCTCTATCTGCTGTGCCACGTAGCTGCGCCTACACTGTGCATTGAAGGAAGCTGGAAATTCTGGGGGGTTGGGGGGGGGGATGAGGAAGGAGGACATCCCAAGCATGGAAGATCACTTTTGCAAAGGCAAGCAGGAGGAATACTTAATGTCATGTACAGGAGATAGCTAATTGTTCAGTTTGAGTGGAACAGAAAGTGTGTGAAGGAAATAAAATGAAATAACACTGGAAATATAGGTAGGAGTCAGATGTCACTGGCTTTAAATGCCAGGCTAAGAAGTTTGTATTTTACTCTTGAGGCAATAGAGTCACTGAAGATTTTTTTATTGGGGTCTGACATGGTCAGATCTGCATTTTAGGAATATAGCTTTGGCAGATGTATAGAGGATGTCTTTGAGTTATGGGAGTAGAGAAGAAGAGCCTGTAGAGGTAGAATTGACAAAATTTGGCCATCGATTGGATATGGAGGGCAAAAAGGAATGTGAGAGGAGGAAGAATTAAGGATGACTCTGAATTGTGATCATGGGTGACTGGGAAGATGATGGTACCCTTAACAGAAATTAAGAAGTTGGGAGGAGGTTTGAGTTTGGGAGGAAATATGAGTTCCATTTTTAGGCATTGATATACCCATGGGATATCCAGATGGAGATGGCCAGACAGCAATTGGTAATCTAAGATAGGAATTAAGAGGCAGATTAAAACCTGGATCTATAGATTTGGGGACCATCTGTGTAGAGACGCTAACTGAACCTATATGAGCAGATGAGATGGCAAACACAGAGAAAGTAGAGAAAGAAAAGGAGAAAACCCAGGACAGAGTCTTGAGAGATACCCACACTTCAAAAAAGGTAGGAGAGTGATGTAGTGAGTATACTGAGCAGTCACACAGGCAGGAGGAGAGCTAAGAAGAGTGAGTCACAGAAGCCAAGGGAAGAGAGGGCATCTGGGGGAGAGGAGATGTTTAACACTGTCAGAAGCTACAGACAGGTCAAGTAGAATGAGAACTGAGAAAAAGCCATCAGATTTAGCCATTAAGAGATGGTTTAGGAGCCCGGAAAAATATAATTTCATTGAAGTGGTGGGATCAGTTACACAGTCTGATATTTATTGAAAGCACACCCATTTTGCCACTTAATTTCCACCCTGAATTCTTCTTGTTTAATGGAATTTAGACCTTTGATATTATTAAATGAATAAATTGTTATCAAAGGTTTGACTGTCAATTTGTCAATTTTTATTTTGTGCCATAGAATCTTTCATACAATGGTCAACCATTAAAACATTGTATTTTGGCAGAAAACAAAACACATTTATCAACCCAGGATTTTTTTTAATTACAGTGTCATCACTTGATGACATGCTGTCACTTATTTCCACACAACTCATTCATTAAATGCAAATAAAACATCACTTTCAAGATGAGTTGCACATTGTTTCCAAAGAATTTAAGTCAATTTTGGAAATAGGAGCTGCTTCAGAACAATGTTTTATTTGTTGAGGAATAGTATGGGAGAAAAGAGGAGGACAAAGGTGATAAGTCTTTTCAGTCAGGTTTGTTGACCACATCTGAACCTTGGCAACTGGCTCACCAATTTCTAGAATTCTTACTGGAGACAGTAACTACATTAGAGATGTTAAATGACTTTGGCATTTAAAGCTTTTTGTAATCTTTTCCCTTCCTCTATTTCTTCTCTCTCTCTCTCTCTCTCTCTCTGTTTCTCTTCTCTTCTCTTTCTCTCCGTATAAATGTATATACACATATATATATATATACACACACATACACATTTATATTATATATTATATGACTTTTATTATATATGTTATACATATTACATTATATATTATACATTTATATATTTATATCCACATACTCTACAGTTCGGTCATACTGGTCTCTTTACCTAGTTCACCTGGAATTTGTGGCATTTACACTTAATTCAGTTGGTGACAAAACCAATAGTTAAATTCCATCTGGGACTCAGGGAGAGGAAACTTGCTGTTCAGTCTTCTTTAGCTACACCCAGATTTAATGTGGTCAGCCTCTTCAGATGGTTGTTCTAAAAGAATTCGACACCACCTCATGGGATGGGAGGGGTTTCCCTATGTCATAGGGAAGCACAATTAGATAATAAAAATCTGTCCTGTATCTCTTAATCTATCCTCTTATCCCATTCCTATCAGGCCAAGTTCATAGGATCACAGACAGAACTAAAAAGAACTTTGCTGTTCAGTCTTGTCCAACTCATCATGACCCCATGGATCTTCCTATCCATGGAGTTTTCTTGGCAAAGACACTGGAGTGGTTTGCCATTTCCTTCTCCTGTAGATTAAGGCAAACAGAGGGTAAGTTACTTACCCAGGGTCACATAGCAAGTAAGTTTCTGAGGCCAGATTTGGACTCAGGTCTTCCTGACTCCACGGCTAGCGTTTCGTCCACCAAGCAACCTAAATGCCTCTAGGAAAGAAACCTTAGAGGTCATCATATCTGATTCTCCCAGTTTACAAAGCAGTAACTTGAGTTAGTTGTAGTAACTTGTAGGAAACCAAGGCAAAAATTGCCAGTTACAGTGTTGTAAGTGCCTCCTTGAGACTTGTCAAAGTGTCGGGGAAGTTTAAATGACTGGTGATAGCCGCTTGAAGAATAAAGGAATTAAGTAACTCCAACTAAACATTAAGCAGAGCTAGAGTAATTCATATGGTAGGAGAAGGAGGTTTGCAAGTTGTGAGAGAAGAAAAATCTTGACCTTAGGTTATTTTTTCTGTGTTGACTGGGTGGCACTATGGGCAGATTAACAAAAGAGCTGAAATATTTTCATTTATCCTGAGAACAGGCAGTCTCCTTCTGAGGATAAAGGCCTAGAAGCTGAAGACAGCTCCATCAGAAAGCAACAGCTCAGTTGGAAAAAACCCAGCAGCATCTCAGCAACAAATATAAAAACAGCTCTGTGGGGGAGTAGCAAGCAATAGATTTGGAAGCAGAAAAAAAAATGGCAGCTGCAGACATGGGAGTGGAGCAGCAGTATGACACAACACGGTGAAAGGTATCCCAGCTAGAATGCAACCCTAGTTAGTTGGTGGTCTGAGAGTATGCCCTCTCCCATTAATGCTGTAGGAATCTACAGAAGATTA